AATTGGTATATTTTGAATGATGTTAAATTGTTACTTACGTAGTACCCTCTTTCTTTGAAAATAAGACCTCCCCGGATAATAAGCCCAATCCTTTTAGCATGCACTAAAACAAGCCCTCCCCAAAAATAATGCAACACAGCAGTAGCCATGAGGTGGCCACGCTTGCTGTCTCCCGCACCTCAAAAATAATAAGACCTCCCCAAAAATAATGCAACACAGCAGTAGCCATGAGGTGGCCACGCTTGCTGTCTCCCGCACCTCAAAAATAATAAGACCTCCCCCAAAATAAGGCCAAGCGCTTATTTTGGGAGGTAAAAAAAAAAAAAGATCCTGTGAAACAAGCTAGTTAATATTTCTTCCCACACTTTTATTTCTTCTTAGTAAAGATCACTTCACAAATTATATGACAGCAGTTTCAGAGTTGTATGTCAGTTAATAGTGTCTCTCTTATTGGTATTCTTGTATAATATAGGAGTCTTTAAATGATTGCTTATTGTATTTATGAAATCATCGAATCATCAGGCTGGAAGGGACCTTGGAGATCTTCTAACTCAACCTTCTGCCCAGGGCAGAAGTCCTTATTTTATCCCAGATAAATAGTTGTCCAATCTTTACTTGAAAACCCCCAGAGATGGAGTACCCACAACTCCAGGAGACTATTAGTTCCAGTGACAATTGTTTGGATTAGAAAAAAGTTATATTGCAAGAATTAATACAAGAAGCATCTTTGAAGAAATTTGTGTTCTGAGCACTAAATGTGTTTTACTTTTATAAGAAAGAAAAGTAAAACAGAGGGAGAAGAAATTCCATTAATTCTATAGTAGTTAAGGTTTTTTTTGATTGGAGATCATATTTGTGTTTGTGTTGTTTAAATTTAGGGTAAGTAGGCTTCATGTATTCTCTTGGATTTTTAATAGCATTTAATTTACATATTAATGAGTTCAGATTTCCTGTGCACTTCCATGTGACTCAATTAGTTGCAGGTTGTAGATAATTAGGGTTCAATTGCTAAGAGGAACATGATAAGATGAACCTTATTAATCCTTTAGGTAAACAACAAAGATCAATGGCTACAAATTGACCTGAAACATCTTACAAAAATAACAAGCATAATAACTCAAGGAGCCACATCAATGTCTACAGAAATGTATGTGAAAACATTTTCCATCCATTATACTGATGAAGATTCAAAATGGAAGCCTTATTTGGATGTTTGCACTTCCATGGAAAAGGTACCAATTACTTATCTTACAGTTATGGATTTGATTAACTAAATTGTGTCTTCCAAGTTTATTATTTTATTACCATATGTATGGTATTATGTTGGGAACATATAAGGCCGAAAAATCCTCATATCCCTCTTCATAGGTTTTAATCTATCCTTTGGGAATTAGTAACTCTGTACTATGACGTTTGGTTTAGTTACAGCTCCTACAGTTTGCCATAGTACATTGTTAAATTTGTAATTAGGTGGGCATCAGAGGTCTCTATTAATTCAGGTGAAACGAAGGGTACAGATGGAGCAGTGGTTGATAATAGTGGGACAGGTTAGCAGATCATTTTGCAGATTAGTTCCCTGGAAAGATCACTGCTTAAAAACCTGGACAACCATGAGTCCTATCACAGATCAATTATCTCCTGTGGGTCATAGTCCTAGTATTCTTACTATAAAAATGACAAGCCAATGCTGGTATAATTTCCTGTGCTTTATGAACATTCTCAGAATCAGTTTGGTTTCTCTTACATTCCAGGCATGGCTAAATTTTAATATGACAGGGTTTTTTTTACCTCATACTGTTTTACCAACAAAGGAGAAAATGATGATAATGTACATTAACCCAGAAATCTAATGAAGCCTTTCCCTTCCCTAGAGGGCCTGGAAAGATTGTAATCACCAAAGTCATGTCCCCTATTTTTTTCCTATGGCTGATTTTTTTTCCTGGAATTCCAACAATATGAGATTTCTCAATTAAAAGCACTTGACTGTGTCATCAGTCAGGACAATACATGCTTCACAATTTGCATGAGTTTGACATAGCTCATTGGCAGTCAATAATAAGATGTATTTCAAATAATGGAACAATAGTTGAAATCATAAGGCAATTGATAGGTTTATTTATCTTAAAAAGCCCACAAATAATGTGTTATTGAGGTGATCTGAGACAGAAAATAATTTTCCTGATGATATTCTGTGGTAATTTTGAAGATTTATGTTTGAAATGTTCATTTGCTTGCATATGATGCTAATTTATTCTTTTGCTTTATATTTAGGTTTTCACAGGAAATGTTAACACTAATGGACATGTCAAACACTTTTTCAAACCTCCTATATTGTCCAGGTTCATTCGTATCATCCCCAAAACATGGAATCAATATATTGCACTCCGAATAGAACTGTTTGGTTGTGATGTTTTTTAAGGCTTGGGCAGAAGATTATCAAATCAAGCAACTTCAAAGTTTCAAGTTTTCTTATTACTAATTCTGTTTTTTAAAAGGAAAGAAAAACAAAAGCATAATAAAACTGTAGTAGCGTAAAAAAGCTATCCTTCTCAAAGAATTTTCAGCTACAGCTTTATCAATAAAATAACTTAACTGAAGTGACTTTACAATGAATAATTGTACTGCCACTTTAATCATGAATGTACATCCTAATACAATAAAATCTTATTTTTTTGCGAGTACCATGTTTCTTGTGTTTTCCTCTTCTCAAAATAGAAAACATTTCATTTCAAAAAGAAATTGTTGTACTTTCTCTTGAGGGCCTATTATGACAATACTAAAATAAATTTCAGCAGATAAGATCCTCTAGTTCAAGTAGGCTGATCTAGAAAGTTAAACCAGGTTGGTCCTGGTTAGTACATAGATGATCAACTGAAACATCTATGCCAATAAAATGGATTGGGAAATTGAAGAAGGCAATAGCATTTAATGGTCCACTTAATGATGCTAGGAAAAGTATGGATGTAGTTATGTAAATCATCAGGAGTTGAAAGGGAACTTTTAATGAAGACAAACAACATTAACTGTTAGATCAGAGGCATAAATGCTGATATCAATGGTGCCTTTCAACAGTCTCTATGAAATAATGTTGGGTCTGAAGAATGAATCAAAATGACTAATATAATCAATTAAAATGATTCATTTGAATTATCTAACAAACACCAAAAATGAATCAATTCCAATGAATCAAGGATAAGCATACCCAAACCCATTATATACCAAAACAATTCTTCAACAAACCCTGGTTATTAAAATATCCCTGGTTATTTTTTCAAATTTCCATATTTTAACATTTCTCGTTTTTGCAGAATTTATGATTTTTGAGCATTCTCACAATGTTCAGCATTTTTTCTCGAGCACTAAATGTTGTAGCATAAGTTTAAATTCCAGACTTTCACATTATTGCCTCCATTTCAATAGAGATATATATTAGTATTCCTTTCAGCATTCCTTTAGTTTCTTTCCAAATAATTTCATTGTATTTATTGTCATTTCCATTCACCTAACATATTTTAGCCCTTTCAGTCATGGACACCTGGAAGCTTCTGCTGCTTTCATGAAAGTAGCAGTTAAAGCCAGTTTAGCATAATGGTTAAGGTGCTGGCCTAGAAACCAGGAGACTAAGTTCCAGTCCCACCTTAGGCATGAAAGCTAACTGGATGACTTTGGGCCTATCATTCTCTCTGAACCAGTGGTGGGTTGCAGGCGGTATGCCCAGGTACGAGCATACCAGTGCCTGCCCGGAGCACTGGGTACTGTTCTGGTATGGTGCTCCGGAGGGCCCACCCTCCTGCCTGAGCTCCTTACTTGTATTTGAGCTCTTTGGCACTTCCGCGCTCACGCATGGAGCACATGGTGCTTGCGCGACGCTCCGCAAAGCAGCTAGAGTGTCGCAGAGGCATTGCAAGAGGTAAGGACGCATGCACGCACTGTGCACATGCACATTCATGTGGTGGACGGTTGCAACGGGATCTGGAACCCACCACTGCTCTGAACACAATCGACCTCACAGGATTGTTGTCATGGAGAAAACAGGAGAATGCATATGTTTGCCTCTTTGAGTTACTTATAAATAAAGGTAGGATAAAATCTAATGAATAGAGTGATGTTATAATGAACATAAAATGGAGTGGGGCATGTGTTGTGATGAAGCAGTATTTCATCACTGATCCATTTGACCATATCTGTTATGCTGCTGCTTTGTTTATAGTTAACCCTACACCCTAACTTCCATACATCCTGAAATCAGACCATTTCCATTCAGATCTATGACAATTTTTCCTTTTCCTTTAGTTTCAGATACAAACCATATCTATCTATCATCTATCTATCTAT